GTCAACGTATCACGAGAAACCTAGCTTAGTTATATGATCATCTCTCAAATCATTGGTTTATCAAACTCAAAAGGAATATTCGGATCAGCCCATGTAAATCCATGGCGATCTGAGGTTTATAATCCTGTAGAAGTTTCCGCTACTTCCGCACATTAATTATAATTTGAAACCAGCCAAGAAAGAGGAGAGAGAAAGCAGGGCAAGGGCAAGAAATCAGCACCAATGGCTTCACCCCGTGAGTCCCACCAAAATTCGAAATTTCTTTGTCTTTTTTCAATTTATTGTTGTTGTGATCCTAACAAGATACGTTCTTTCGAAGAGATTAATGTATGTATAACAAATGCATGCCCATATGAATGTGCCCATGTGCGTCTCTCTCTATGTATTTTCCAAGTTTGTGCATTTTGTTCAGCTCGCGTTGTTGATCTGTTGTTCTGTGAGGTTTTGCAAGATCTGGGTTTTGTGGGTTATACAGGAAAATGGTGTTCTTTTGAGTTTTCCTATTAATCTGTAGGGGTTGCTGCAGTTTCTATGTGTTGTATTTTATTCAGAAATTGCTGAGTATGTTGTTGTTTCTGATGAAGTTTATTGCGAATGCTGAAAAGATATAAGTGAAGCTTCTAAAAGGGGGCAGCTTTATCAAATACTCGGCTCTATTATTTCGGTTTTGGACAGATTTACATGTAAATATGAGGCATTTAGCTACTAGAAATCAAATTTGATGCATAGTTCTCTAGACAAAAAGTTTCATATATGCTTAGTCGAGACAAATAAATTTGCAGTCTATGGTGTGTGTATGCTGATCCAGTTTAGAGCAGACCAAACTAAGATTCACGATTCTTAGTACTATTTAGTATTTACTGATTTTCTGCATTTAGAATTCTTGGTGATATAAAACCGACTCGTACATAATATACGAGCAATGTGTTGTGCAGGCATTATTCCGTTTGTCTTTGTCCTGCTCATGGTTGGGTGCTCTGCAAGAGTTCTTTACCCACTCCCCAGCAGAAGAAATGACAGAAATAGGCAACCGATCCAAACATTTCGGGCCTATAACATTGCTCACCGTGGCTCAAATGGGGAAATTCCTGAAGAAACAACTGCTGCATATATGGTACGCTATTCAATGCTGTACACAAATTATAGGTTTGTTCGACTGTTAATCACATGCTAAACAAGTCGATACGGGAAGAAAAAAAAATGGTTTGATATCAAGATTTGAGTAAAAAATGGATTCTTTATTAGTGTAGCGTCTTCATTATTAATGTGATTGCCAAAATACGAATTTGCAGAAAGCTATTGAAGAAGGTGCTGATTTCATAGAGTCTGATGTTTTAGCTTCCAAAGATGGGGTGTTGATATGCTTTCATGATGTAACCCTTGATGACACTACTGATATAGCCGATCACAAGGAATTTTTGGACCGGAGAAGAACCTATGAAGTTCAAGGAGATAATGTCACTGGCTATTTCACAGGTAAAAAAAAATATTTCTGAAAAAGTGTAATGCAATTTGTTGTAGTATCTTAATAACTCCACTTATAGTATATAGAACTTTTAAGTAGTCTTTTATCCCCCTCCTTCATCCTCCGCATCTTTGTGAAAAATAAATAAATAAATAAATAAATCTCATTAGTGTGTGTAGCCTGACCTAGCTTTTAATTCATGAATCAATTGATATCGGTTGTTATTGCATGCAGTTGATTTCACACTTGAAGAGCTGAAGTCATTAAGAGTAAAGCAAAGATACTCATTCCGGGATCAGCAGTACAACGGTTAGTAACTTGGTTTGGTTACTTTTTTATACGGATGAGCTTACCATAATAGTAGTATTTTTCAGTAACATTGTGCAAATTACATATTCAATGAGCTTGATGGAAAATATACGAGAGTGTTGATTTGTGATTTTTATCAGCGCATAAATAGTCGGCTAGAATCATCTTGCATCAAGTCAACACCTTTTTGTGATGTCTTGTCTTCAACTAAATAGAGTATTCATCTTTTGTCATATTCCCTTTCAGAGTCTTATACATCGCAAATTTGCAATATTAAATGAAAGGATGACATTGGTGATGCTACTAGCCTACTAGATTAACTTTCTAATTTAAGTTATTACCATGCAGGAAAATTTTCGATTATAACATTTGAGGAATTTATTTCAATTGCTCTGGATGCACCCAGAGTCGTTGGAATATATCCAGAGATAAAGAATCCAGTATTTATCAATCAACACGTGAGCTCTTCACGCTCGCCTTTCTGCAAGTTTTGATGTAATTTAAGTTAAAAAAAAAATTAAATTGTTCTGTATGTGCATGACTTTGCTGAACAGGTTAAGTGGTCAGGTGGTAAGAAGTTTGAGGACAAATTCGTACAAACGCTCAAAAAGTACGGGTACCATGGTTCTTATTTGTCAAAACAATGGCTTAAGCAACCTGCTTTTATTCAGTCATTTGCACCAACTTCTCTTACCTACATTTCAAACATGACCGATCTGCCGAAGATTTTCCTAATTGATGACATCACCATGCCAACTCAAGATACTAATCAGGTTGGTAATTCGTATTACTGGATACTCATCCACTTCTAAAATTTTTCCTTCGAATGTTACCGTAGTTTTTGCTGTTGGAGTTAAAATGCGATGCTGATTATAAATTACTGACATAGTTTAGCTATATCACTTAATTTGGGTTAGTTAAAGTTCATTACCATCAAGAATTCTCTAATTCTCTTGACATGACATGACACGACACGATATGTTCTGACTGTATCAGTCTTACTGGGAGATCACTTCGGATAATTATCTTGATTATATCAAGGAATATGTTGTCGGGATTGGGCCCTGGAAGGATACACTGGTTACCGCATCAAATAATTATCTGCAAGCGCCAACAGATCTTGTAGCCAGAGCACATGCCCATAACCTTCAGGTACCTTTCCATTTTTTTTTTTTGTTTTTTTTTTTCTGGAAAAAAGTTATCACGTGTTATGGTAGACGAAGTCACGAATTTTTTGACTGAAAACAAATTATCAGTTGGTTATAATTTATAATAACTGTGTTGTGTAACTCTAAGATAACATATCTCCATTCTTTGCATTCATTCTGCTATCATTGTTTCGGTTTATTTCAAATGTAATGCTGGATTTTATCTCATGCTCTCAAATTTACTGCCAACACCTTTTCTTCTCAGGTTCACCCGTACACCTACCGGAATGAGAATCAGTTTTTGCACTACAACTTCAGTCAAGACCCGTACAAAGAGTACGATTACTGGATAAACGAGATTGGAGTTGATGGGCTTTTTACGGACTTCACAGGCAGCCTCCATCGGTATCAAGAATGGACCAAGCCTTTCTCGTCTGGGGAAGAAGATGCATCAAAGCTTCTCGACAAAATTGTTACTTTAATCTCAAAGTTCAGACACTACTGAACTTTTTATTCTTTGTTCAGGCCTATATTGGCTTGTCCCAGTTTAGAATGTGATTTCATAGGATCAAAGAGCTCCCAAAGGTTCAGAAAAAAAGAGGAATTTTACCTGGATGTGATTTTTGAATAATATTATAAAGAATGAATGTTAAATTATGAAAGTATATAGAAAATATTATTGATTATGCCCTTTTGATGTGATGTCAAAGCTACAAACCTCAAACTACAAGGTCAGCACTGTAATTTCTACTGAAATATACTTCGATCAAGACAAGGTCAGCACAATATATTACAAGCCTTGCTAACAAAATCCAAACCCATTCAATTCAAATACTGAGAAGACACTAATTCTGATCTCCAGAAGGCAGTCATTCATTCACAAAAATATTGAAGTTTAAAGGATTTCAACTATGGGGAAAGTCTCTTGATATTTTCATCTTGGAAATTTCTTCGAGCAAATACTTGGATTCAGTTGCATAATCGACAGGTGAAACTGCCCTGATGGTTATCCTTTGCTTCCTATCGTTATTGTACTCGTGAGGAGTCACACTAACTCGGAATAGGTAAGGGACCCACATAGCATCCTTCAGTTTCATCTGATATGAGCTATCTCCATCCTAAATTTGAATAATCAACATGAGAAAACAGACAATAAAAAAAGAAAAACATCATTTGATCTTTTCCTTTGCAATGGGTTATGGGTTTGCATAATGCTAATTGCTAACCTGAGTTCTCAACTCATTGAGCTCATCTGCTGAGCATCCAATTATTTTCTCAGCTTGCTCATTGAAAACTGAGAGATAGGCTTCGCCACTCGCATCCAAAACTTTAACCACCATCACGTATCTGTTAACAGGAGAAACAAAATATATTTCAGCATACATTCATGGAGGATCTCTTTCGTACATAATCCAAAAGCAGATAAATAGTTCAAAGCGACAAACCTCAAACTGCAATCATCCTCGTTCTTTTGGCACCCTTCACACCAGTAGCGAGACCCAACAGCTTCGGTAACTTTTTTGTTACATGTCTTGCAAGCTCGGTACCACATTGCTTGATCTTGTTTGATGTAGCTTATGTATGCTTTGATGCAGAAAAACACAGGCTGTGAATGAGAGAGAGAGTGAGAGAGAGAGAGAGGGAGTCAGTGACAATGAGCATTACTTGATGTTATTTATTACCTTTATCTGAGCATTACTTGATGTTATTACCTTTATCAGAGTTTATTTTTATTTTATTATTAACACCTTTTACCGGTTTTCTTGCCTTCCGCTACGAGTTTAATTCACAAAACAAAAAAATAGAAAAGCGTTTCCCGATGTACTTTAATTCACAAAGAACACGTTAATGCCATACTACTATATACTATTAACTACAAATCAACTGTAATTTGATAAAAGACAGCAAATTATGGTACCTTATCCTCTCCCAATGATGGGTCATTGGTGATGTGAGATAGGGAGACTCTATCGGAGTACAATGATCTTGCTCCACCTTTTGCCAAAGGGTTTAAGCCAGCACCAATAGAAGCCAAAGAAGTGTCCTTGCCTTCAGAATCATACCTGCATACATTTACAACCATCAAAAGATGTAAGAGTCAGAAGTATCTAACAAGTGGAAAAGATTGGGAGGAAAGGAAATTCAGATTAGTTTCATACCAAGATCTCAGCTTTTTGGCTTCCGGAGTATCTGGGTTGACTACTACAACACTTTTGCTCACTGCTGATAGTGATACACCTGATTTGACAAATGGAGCGCATTTTTTTCAGTTTTATGTCAACTGAACAAAACAAAATCATTAGTTGTACAGCGTAAATTTCACCTACCCTGAAAGTCACCAACTTTGAGAGCCTTAATAGCAACCACAGGAGATTTATCAGACATATCGAGCAGCTCTTGTCCAACATTTGTGGCATGATCACCCCACAGAGACACCACCACAGTTTTCTTCCTGAAAATCAAATCCAGATATGGATTAAATTAAAAAAGTAAAACGCAAAACAAAAAACAATTAGTACAAAACAGTAATCATACGTCTCATCAGCTATGGTTATGTCCCGCTTTGGAACAGCCTCATTGTTGCTCTTCCTTCTAATACTCATTGTAGGAGATACACTCTGAACCACCCCAACAACATCTGTGAAAGACACCTCAAATAAAATATAATAAACTAAAATAATGATGTCAATAAAGGATAACAGGTTTGATTATTGGGCCTCTTACCAACAAGCTCCCTTCCATTCACATATGGTCCTAATTCATCAATCGGGACAAAACTGAATTTGGTTTCAGGAATAAAAGCAGGCTCACTATTGATTTCCTCAACCACAGAATTCTCATTCAAGGTCATCTCATAATCATTCTGCACTGTCTTATATTGTTTGTTTGCAACTTTCAGAGTACCCTTTGATATGTAGTAGACCTTCCCCATCTGGAACTTATCAAAGAACTTCCTTGCAGCCTCATTAAACATTGTGGCTTGAATTTGAGTGCCCTGACACCATAACAACAAATAAGATAGCTCAATTACTATGAAAAGCAAAAAACATCAATAAAAGACAGACGCTTCTCAAAATTTAGTTTTTGACCCACATCTTCATCAGTCAGCTCGACATTGAACACACAGCCTTCACCTCTTGCATTCTTGTAGGATCGCATGTTTCCTTTGCTAGTTACCCGAACTCTAATTGTCCAGTTTCCTTGGTATGGGTTTAAGGAGACAAGTGGGTAGATTCTTCTTGTCATCGCCATTCGTCCAGCTGGTGCCATGCTGATACCATTCAAAATGTTAAGTACAGCTCCATAAATAGAGATGCAACTGAATCATACCAATGTATTCTGGATTAATATTTTGGTGGCCAGGTGTGTGCAAAACTCTCATATCATCTTTTAGTAGATCAATCAGAAAACAATAACAGCTGGGGGTGACAAACACTATCACACTTACTTGCCATGCTGCTCATGAACTATTTGTGCAGCAGATTTAGCCATTGCTTCTTGCTTAGGCTTTAACAAAGTACCGCTAGCTTCAATCTTAACGACACTATCCTGTTCTGGAGTCAAAGTAACCTCAGCATCTGCCTTGTACTCTGCCTCAAGTGCAGAAGACACAGCCTTACATTTTGATACAATCAGGAACCTACGGCAATTACATTCCAGATCAGAACAAACCTCAATGTTGATCGACATATACAGACAAAAACAAGGAGGAGGTACTAATGAGTAGAATAACATCAATCACCATAAATTTATTTACTTTTCATTCTTGGTGGGGATGTCATTGAGAGTGTAGTCAAGAACACGGATGAGCCCTAGATTCTGAATATTTCCAGATGTTACTAGCAATGACAGAGAAGATTGCAGCAAAGCTCTCACCTTCATTTTCCCGTCATTCGCCATGAACCTGTGGTGATTGAATAAAACATTTTACAGCTTGAAAGATGAAAAATTGTATCTCTGATAGTAAAGTTTTCCTACACATTAATCGATCGCAATATCACATCTATTTTAATCAATAGAGACAGTCATTTCTGAATGAATAATGTATGCACACACTGATCTTTAACTCACCAATTCTAAACACACACGCACACACAGATTTGCTTTCTAGACTTATCTAACTCACGTAAACGCCCATACATCTAATCATTCAATAGATATTATAAAATAAAATAAAATAAAAAAAAAAAAACTTTCACAACTTGTGAAACACATCACACAAGTTCAAGTGAATTATATTCTGTTTTTCCATACACAATATCTCACCTTCAAGCACCCATCAAAACGCACACTAAAAACTTCTCCAAATCAATACACTGATAACCCATCAATCCAAAATAGCAAAAGGCGATGTATTTCATTCTTACAACGCACCCATTTTAGCTCATGAGCGAACCTAACGAACTTGGGAAAATCGGGGAAAAAAAATAAAAAAAAAAATAAAGAAACTATAGAGAACAAAGCGAACACTCACGTGTACTTGGTGCCAGTTGGTTTGAGATCGACGACCTGTACAACAATCTCCGGCAAATCTGAAGAAGAGTCGGGGCAGGGGTTGGCCAGAATAATCGATACCGCATCTGGGCTCACCGTTTTCGACATCTTTCACCAACTAATTTGAACTCACGGAACAAGGAAACGAAGACGAAGTAAATGCTCAAATCTGGTTGTGGTGCGATTAATGGGGAATAGAGTGAGATGATTTGTGAAGGGAAATGAGATGATTTTGTGTGGAGTGAAAAAAATGGGCGGGGAAAAAATTGGGAAATTTTCTTAAGATACGCGGGAATTCGAACTCCATTTGGGGGATTTTCGAGAATTGCAGAGAACGTTTTTGGCGCCATGTCGCTTTTTAACTATTGATCGATTATTCATACGCATCAACTTTAATTCAACACTAATTTGTTTAAATAATTTTGATTAATCATCACTTTTACATTATTTTTTTTCGTACTTTTACATTAAATAGACTTTCATCATTTTATTTTGAATATTATTTTAATATAAATTCAAAATTCTACTAACAACTATCTATTCCACAATGTTTATATTAATTATGATTAATAAAAGAATCAATCAAAATTAAATCAAATAAAATCCATATTCAATCACACCATGAGGGTCGACCCAGTGAGTTTGGGTAGATTACCCCACTCGGACCAATTAAATCAAGAATGACCAATCCCATAATGACCAATCCCAAACCCTAGTCGACCCAAACATTATCTCACTTAGAACAACTCGTTTTGACCTGAACAATTAACTATTTTTTTATTTGTTTTTTCAAGTGTTTTAAATCTCAAAAATAAAATTATGTATATGTATTTAACATCGACAATCCGGGAGTATGGGAATTTCGATTAAAGAAATCAATTATTCTGGTTCCGGTTTCAATCTGGACCCACCGGTTCCCAATAGACCCGGCAGATCCAAGTGTTTTTTTCTTTCAAACAAATAATTATAATTAAACACTGACCTACTAGCTTTCAAACCAAGCCATCGACCCACCGGTCAAGTGTTTAACATTAACCTGCTGGCCTTTGGGCCAAGCCATCGGCCAACCGGTCAAGTGAATCTTAGTCGTCAATCTTGCAAAGGCTACAAGATTCTATGGTTGAGATTGAATCATAGTCATCATCAACTCCTAGGTCGTAGGTCGAACCCAAAAGCATATCAAAATTTCAAAAAAAAAATGAAAATCATAATTTCCAAGGCCAAACTCCACAGGGCAGGCAAGTTCCAAGTTGGGCTCCAAATCATAAATAGAGCCATGGAAACAATGAAGATGTAAACCATTGAGCATGACAAATAAACAAGGTGAAATACATCACAATGGCGAAAGCAAAACATTAAATTTATGCAAAATCATTCAAATACGTAACCATAGTCAGGAGTTCGCTAATTCAAATTTAATATTCCGTCTAAACATTTAGCACGAACAACAAAGGATATAAGCATCAAGAGTAAAACCCTGTCAACAAAGGCAAAACCAACAGGCCCTCTATTACACGGAGTGAGCATTCAGAAAAGTGAAGTTCCCTTGCCCTTCTTATCTCCACCAATCTCAAAATGCTTGCACCTCTGCAAAATCAAGCCAGACTAGTTAAATCTAAAAGGGCAAAAGCATAGAAAGAAAATGATGAAGAGAAAAAGCCAAACAACTGACCTTGATGGGGTGCTGCGAAACATGCTTGCAACCTTGGCATTGCAGCCTCAGCACAATCTTCTTAGTTGTTTTTGCCTAATCAGGGAGGGCAAAAAAATACAAAAGAAAAATGAAAATAAGAAAACACAATAAAAAATAATCCCACAATATTCAAACAAAAATTTTATGTTCTGATGCATACAGTTACATGGGCCTTGGATCCTCTCGAATTGATAGATTCACGTGTATTTTTGAAGAGACACGATACTAAAATAATATGTAGCGCCTACTTTACATAAAATTACACTCTAAACTTTTAACTTTAGAGGAACCATTTCCTAGTGAACCACACCTCACACATTTATTTGGTGGACTAAAAAAAACACTAAACAAATAAAGTCACCTTCTTGTGGAAGACAGGTTTTGTCTGGCCACCATAACCCGACTGCTTGCGATCATAACGGCGCTTACCCTGAGCGGCCAAGCTGTCCTTGCCTTTCTTGTATTGAGTCACCTTATGCAGCGTGTGCTTCTTGCACTGCTTTGATTTGCAGAAAGTCTTCTTCGTCTTGGGAACGTTCACCTGAAAACACAAAGCCACAGACGAATCAATCAGTCAAACAGAATTACAAAGATGCAAATCCTGATCCACATCAAAAGATCTGAGCCTACATAAACTCATCATTTGCAGGATGTATGGCCATGTATGTAAACGTGAGCACATCTCAAGTAAATTGAAAGTGATCAAATTAGCTAAGAAATGTAGGATTATTATTTCAAAGAAAAGAAATCATTTGGGTCTAACTCCCAAGATAGCAATGCTCCTAGGAAACAAGTGTGATCAAGGTGCAGGCATAAACCAATATTGCCAAATAAAATAAAAATATATAAGTTCACCCCAATTGTCATCCTCTAGAAATAATACACAGTACAGAGAACATACCCAAAAAAAAAAAAAAAAAACGGTATCATATGGGTCATTCCCCAATCACTGAGCCCTAGTTGTTAAAGATCAGGAATTTCGAAACCAAGTTCTCTTCAAATTAAACCCTTTTTTTTTAATAACAAAATACAGAATTTTATTCAGCGAATCAAACATATTAACAATTCACGCATCTCAGATTATCATAATCCAAATTTTTTCGGCCCCAAACTGAAAATTTCTAGCACTAAAATTTACACGAAGTTCCATAACAACAGCAAATGCTCAGCCAGCAATGAATTTAAAGAGTTATCGAGAATCATTTGCAGCATCTTAAGATGATACATGAAGAAAAATACAAAAATAAGCTAAAAAATTCATCGTCAAAATTCGAAACCAAGAATGAGAGAGAGAGAGAGAGGGAGAGAGAGAGAGAGTACCATGGCTGACAGCTGATGAGGAAGGACAGGGGAGCTGGGATGTGAATGAGATCCACTGCAAAAGTTAAACCCTAGAGTGGGAAAAGTTCTGTTCTTTAAATACCATCGTTAGGGTTACATGTGTGGGTGAGGAAGTAGGCTCGGCCCGGATAATAACTGTTCAAAGATCAGCCCATTAGTGGACTAAAGAAAATTTTATTTTGGGCTTTGTTGAACGGGCCTGAGATGAACTACAAAGACGATGCTTGGATATAAGATTTGTTAATTTTTTTTGGTTAATTTTAAAAATTGTAGTATGATTAGTTGTTAGTGGAATTTTGAGTTTATATTAAAATAATATTAAAAATAATTTTATTAAAATTGAGTGAATGTAAAAGTAGAAGAGAGATTATGTTAAGTGATGGTTAGCTAAAGTTATGAGAATGGATGAATAATGAATTAAAATTGATGAGATGTGCATAAGAATGATTGGTTGATATTATTTAATTATATTAAGGATATTGAGGATAATGAAATTGAGCTAAAAGTTTAATTGAGTTTGAGTTAAAAAAAATTGATTGGATTTTTTTTTTAAGAAATCTTGTATCCAAGTTCCTATTGAGAATTAAGTATTACCATTGGTGCGTTGTGGTAGTTTAGGCTCTCGAAAGGAATGTCCTTCTACTTGATTCGACTTGTGACTGAGTTATAGGTGTAATTATGTATTTTTTTACACAAGTTTATCGATCCCGAAAAAAAAAAAGTGCCTTGTACCTCAACCCTTTGATTTTTTTCTTGGCTCTTTTACATATTTATATCATGGCACTTCCTAACTGATTGCACATATACATGAAAACTTATTTATATGTGTTGACGAGCGATTGCAAATGGTCTTGTTCGTGTAACTGAGAGGTGTGTAAATTTGATATATGACGGACAATACGATTAACGCTATATTAAGATACATAAACATAAAGGTAGAAAACACACACAATGTCGCCGATCAGTTGGGTGACCGACGAGGGGAATGTTTCTCCAAAAAAATAACTAGCAAGTAGTATTATGGTACGAGGGAAGCTATGAGTTTTTTTTT